CTGTTTTCAGAGATGACAACAGTTGTCTGATATATTTTGGTGCTTCTTCGTTTGGTGAGTATATGTTAATTAGTGTTATTTCTTCTTGAAGTATTGTCCCTTTGATCATAATGTAGTGACCGTTGGGATTCCGTTTTATTTTTTTGAGTTTGAAATCTGTTTTATCTGATATAAGTATAGCAGTTCCTGCTTTCTTTTTTGGTCCATTTGTTTGTAGGATTGTTTTCCATCCTTTAACTGAGTTTATTTTTATCTTTTGTAGCTAAATGTGTTTCCTGGAGACAGCAAAAGGTTGGGTTTTGTTTCTTAATCCAGGCTGCAACTCTGTGTCTTTTTATTGAAGAGTTTAGTCCATTTACATTTAGGGTTAATATTGATATGTTAGCATCTGTATTTGCCATTGTGTTTGTCTTTCCTTTGATTTTATTTATTCTTTTAATATCTTTTTTTTTTCCTTGCCTTCTTTTGTTGTTATTCATCCCTCTGAGGTTCTGGCTTTAGGATTCCTTGTAGTATTTTTTGGAGTGGGGGTTTATTGGTAATGAAGTTCCATAGTTTCTGTTTGTCTGGGAAGGTCCTTATTCTTTCTTCATAGGGGAAGGAAAGCTTTGCGGGATAGAGTATTCTTGGTTGACATCTTTTTTCTTGGAGTCTGTTGACTATGTCCTTCCACTCTCTCCTTGCCCATAGTGTTTCTTCAGAGAAGTCTGATGTCAGCCTGATTGGTTTTCCTTTGAATGTTATTTGTTTCTTCCCTCTTGTCAGCTTCATTATTTTTTCCTTGTCCTGGATTCTTGGGAGCTTCACTATTATGTGTCTTGCTGTATTTTTCCTTTTGTCATGGAAGTTTGGTGTTCTTCTTGCTTCTTGTGTATCAATTTTCAGCTCCTTCTTCACATTTGGGAAGTTCTCTTCAATTATCTCCTGGAATATTTTCTCTGTTCCTACATCTCTCTCCTCTCCTTCTGGTATTCCTATAACTCTTATATTTCCTTTCCTCATGGTGTCAGATAGTTCCCGAAGTCTTTCTTCGTTCTTTTTCCTTCGTACTTCTCTTTCCTTTTCTGTTTTGGTTCTTTTTATTTCTGTGTCTTCAAGAGAACTTATTCGTTCTTCCATTTCATCTATTCTGCTTTCATTGCTTTTCCCAGAATTCTTTATTTCTTCCATTAATTCTTTGATCTCCTGCATTTCTTTTACTTCCCTCTTTAGGGACTCAATTTCATTCTTCTGATCGTTGATTATTTTTCCCTTATCATTGTTTTCCTTTATGAGTTCTGTCATTTTTTTAATCATGGCAATTTTAAATTCTCTTTCTGGAAGGCTCAGAAGTTCTTCCATGTTACTGTCGTTGCAATCTGGGGGCTGGTTTTCTTTTTGTGGTGTGCTTCTTCCCTGAGGAGTTGCTATGTTGCGTGTGGTTCTTCTACTCCCTACTGTCTGTTTTCTAATTTGCCGTATGCGTTGGGACACTGTGTTGCTGGGACTTGCCGGCATCTTGGGTGAGCTTCTCTGCTCCCCTCTGGCTCCTCCGGGAGCCATCTGTCAGTTTCAAGCAGTCTTTACTGAAGAAAGGTCCCTGTTCTAAAATGCCGATGTGGGGACACACTCCCCTGTGCTCCTGGTCTGCCCCGGCGGTGGGTTCCCTCTCCCCCTCTGGGCTTGGACTGCAGGCCAGAGGTGTTCTGGTGTGGGCGAACTTCCCCAGCTCACCTCTGGCTCCTGAGGGAGCCTTCTGCAGGCAGTCTTTACTGAAGAAATGTCCCTGTTCTAAAATGGCGATGCGGGACACACTCCCTGCGTGTCCAGTCTCAGGCACACTCTTCTGCGCACCTGGTCTACCCCGGCTTTGGGTACTCGCTCCCCCTGTGGGCTCAGACTACTGGTCGGCAGGGGCCCGGCGTGGGCTAACTTCCCAGCTGGCCACTGGCTCCTCCAGGAGCCTCTGCTGGTTTCAAGTCGCTAGGTGGCGCCAGAGATCTCTCCTAGAGCCCTTGGGGAGCTGTTTTCTGTTTTTTTTTTTTTTTTTTTTTTCACCCCATGGGACAGGAAACAGAGCGGGAATGGTAGGGTAAACCTCAACGGCTTTGGGGTGCTGTGTCTGCCTTGTGCCCCACCGTCGTGGAGAACCCACGCCCCGAATTTTGTGCTCCGGATCTCATTTCCAAAGCCCTCAGGTCCAGGACGCGGGCTGTAGCCCAGTTCAGTGTCCACAGAATGGCGTCTTTTGCACCCCGCTCCCGTTCCTGGGCGCCTGGTTCCTGCTCACTCAGTGAGGGACTTTCACCTCAGTGAGGAGGGCCTGCGCGAGTCTCCCCGCAAGCCTAGGTCGCAGGCTCCGGGACCTGGGCAGCCGCGATCCCAATCAGTGTTTGCTTTTCAACTGCACTGCTTTTCCGCGCGATCCCGATCTGCGTTTGCTTTTCCAGCGCACCGCTTTTCCGTGCAAGCTTACCGGGCGGCCAGGGGCTGTGTGCTGGTCCTGGCCTCCTCCTGGGGGGCAGGGTCTCTGTTTAATGGCGCCTGGAGCTCACCTCCGCGCGAATCCTGCAGGGTTGTCCGCAGCTCCCGTTCACGGGGTGTGGTGGCTGCAATAGTTCCTTTCCACTCACAGTCCCGCTTGCTGCATAGTTTGTTCTTGTTGGTCCTTTTAGTTTGTTGTTTTCCTCCTCTCTGCAGGTCGGAGAGTGCCGACTCTGTGGGCGGGGGAGGGGAGCAGGGTTCTGCGCTTTCCTCCCTTCTAGTCCTCTTTTATGGCAACTTTCTTCTTCGGGTAGTTTGCTGGAGTTGTCTGTTTATCTTCCGTGTCCCAGTTCTCACTGGGACCTGCCGCTTTTCCTCCCTATTAACTTTTTTTAATGGGAGATTTTACTCACAGCGTCTCCTCTCCGCCATGTTGCTCTGCCCTCCTATCGAGGATGTATTTCTGATTACCTTATCTAAAATAGCATCATCAAATCAGGTCACTCTGTTTTGCACAGCATTTATTTTATTTTTTCCATAGTGCTTTATTTCTACCTGAAATCATCTTACCTTTATATTTTTTGTTTTTGTCTCCCCTCCTTAAAGGAGAAGAATAAGAACCATATCTATTCTATTACTGGAACTCCTGAAGGATAGCTGATACATACTAGGTGATCAGTGACTTTTTATTGAATAAGGTTATGGAATCAAAATTAGTTTGATTCCTAGTTGATGCTATTTTGTTGTGACTTTTTACAAATCAGTTATACTTTTGGAGAATGTCATTTTCAGCTTCTATATAATACTTATCTTAAAGGCTTGATTTCAAGATTAAATAAGCTGATAACAAAATCTCTCATAGTACCTGACTCTTGATAAATATTCATACTTTTTTACAATATTTGGTCACCCAAGTAAGTTTGCTAATAAATCATATGTATAAAGTAAACTTATGTTAAGTAATTATATAATAGTTAATATGTAGTCAAGTATTCTCCCAAATTGGCCATTTTTATAAAAATCAGTAAACACAGAACATAGTTACTTATTTAAATGTGTGTCTAAATCCATTCTAAAAATTTGAACATTCACCAAATTAACAAGAGTAACAGCTCTTGTTGGGAACTACTAGTAACTGTTATTGATGGGAATGGTGTTTAGGTGAGATTGATGAATGAAATATTGAGGTAACATTGGTGTTGTAAATTATTTAGAGGTATAGGATCTCTCCTTGGGTGTCGTTACCACACTTGCACCCACCACCAAACACCCATAGTCCATTGTGCTCCCTCCCACTTTGTTCTCTCCGCTACCCGCCTCCTGCTAATTTCAGCACTTGGGGCTACGGTTTTATAAAGAAAATATCTATATATTACTGGTGTAATGAAGAACTGATTTTCCTAAAGTGTATCCTTACAGGCTATTTTCTACTGAAGACAGAGCTGCAATTTTTAAATTCAGTTATTTATCACCTTAACTACTCCTTCAATAAACCTACCATACGTCAGCCATTATGCTAAGTATTTAGGATAAACACCAAAAAAGACAATTATGATCCAATCTTTCAAGAGTTAATATTCTAGCTAGGTTCAAGTATTCCTAAAATCTAAACCCATATGTTCAACTTCTAGACCTCTTTGCCTGTCCCAAAGCAGTGCAGTGTCAACATATCTAAAGTCAAACTCCATTTCTTTACCTTTTCATTACACTAGGAAACTGTAAGAGTCATCTTTTCCTTTTCTTTCATAGCTTTTCTCTCCCCTTCATTGTCTACAGCTGCTTGAGACTCATACTTCTTTTTCTTTAATTCCTCTAGAGTCATTTCTAATTTTTTTTTTGCCACTGTATGGATATTCTTATGATCTTTTGTCTATGCTATAGTAATAGCTTTATCTATTCTTCTTTCCCTCTAGATATCTACCTATTACTATACTAGTCTTCACACTACTATAAGAAAAATCTCTCTAACATAAATCTGGTCATTCTGCCCTGATTAAAATGCTTTGATTTTCTATTGCTAAGAGATTTCAGTATCCATGGTAAATTCAGGGGTCTTCACAATTTGAACGCGGGCTGTCTTTTTAACCTCATCTACTACTTCTTCACCATTCTATACTCAGCCACACCGAACTTGGTAGTAGTTGTTAAATATGTTATGTTTTTTATATTTCTCTTCATTTTCTTCTTAGGGGAATGCCCTTTGTTCCCCCCAATGAAAGTTCTACCTTACAGGTTATCTTTTGTTCTTCTGGCAAGTTATATTTCTCTTACAAAACCAGATCAAATGTTTACTATTAAGACATCAGTGATTGCACCACACAAAGTTAGTGACTTCATTTCTAAAGATTGTATTTTTTTCATTTTTTAACTGTACCCTCAGTATCATATACCCTTCCTGCATTTGCTCATAGGAAGGACTAAATAAATATCTGTGAAATTAGTCACCTATAGAATTCTGCTTTGAAGCATAAACGTATAAATTAGAATTCAAAAGAAGTGGAATTTATTAAATTTCTTTGATTTAATTCTTCAAACAGATTTTATGCTGCATGTGTAGTTCTTGGGTTGCAGTATTTACACGAACACAAAATTGTTTATAGGTAAGTGAAGTTTTGACCCTTTCTAATGGCTTACTTTGGTGTGAATTAGAATTAATTAGATAATGTGGAAGGACAATTTGTATTTACAGCGTCTTAATTTTCTCGTTACTATAAGTGACCACTAAAAATGTCCAACTTGAATTTTGAAAGATGTGGTTAACATAATAATGATATAATGAACCTCTTCATTCCTGATCATCTTTCCATTTTCAGGTTAAAATAGTCAAATTATAAAGTAGACTTTTATAACACATTTCACCAACAATTTTTATCTGTTCTACAGATGAAAACCAGAGACCAGTAGTACACAAAACGTGTCCACAGTAAGCTAAGTAGCTTGTGATAGAGTGTAAAACATCATCCTGCTTCCTTCATTAGTGCTATGTGTCATCTAAACAGTGTATTAGGTGACATAGTTGATTTATGTACTGGCACAAGGTTCTTATCAAATTGAGGACCAGTAACAATTAGTTATAGACCAGTGTACAAATGTACAGGTGATTCTTTGAATATCATTACTATAGACTAGATAAATTATGGGAAAGCTGATCAAAATTAGACAATACATTTTGACTTGTTCAGACTTCTAATAATATTTCCAATGTGAGGTTCTGTTTTACTCAGAGGATAAAATGTTTTCAACTACTTTATGATCTGTTAGTATAGGTGGACAACTTTCTCTTTATTTTGAATTACTCAGTAGGTTAAATTTGTCCCCCTGATACCTTATTTAGCTTGATGATTCTTTCTTATGGATTGTATATAGGCAAATTTCAAATTTAGTCTAAGTCAGATTATCACAAATAACAAGTTAATAAACCTGAGGTAAAGATACTTGAACTCCTTCTGTTCTTTAAAATATACATTTAAAGAGATAAAACATTATTTTTTCCAAATCATTCTTCCATTTCTCTATAATAGGGGAAAAAATTCAGAAAGTAAATTGTATAGCAACACGTTTGCTAAAATACAAAAAAATGACCATTTGTAATATAGTGTTTAAATCTCAAATCATAACTGGAAAAACTTGGTTTTTTAGTTAAGTATGGCTCCTGTTGAAGCAATTATTTTGCTACATCTATTGATTTTGTTGATTTTTTTTTTCATTTTACTTTTTTTTTTATCCTGAATAGGGATTTGAAATTGGATAACTTATTGCTAGATACAGAGGGCTTTGTGAAAATTGCTGATTTTGGTCTTTGCAAAGAAGGTAATTGGATATTTTAAAGTTCTTTTTCTAGATTACTGTTCTTTGTACCTTAGTAGTTTTCAAGTTTGTGAAAAGTAAAATAGATTAAAAATATGGATTGTTTACACAACCTGATTATCACATTAAGAATTTGTTCTGTAGATTTGAATATGATTGTTTTCAGAAATCATAATAGAAAATTAAGACTTTCTTTGTGTGTTTAATAATTTTATCATAACTCTTAAGGAAGCACCAGAATTTTCAGTCTGCTGGCACTGTACAGAATAAATTACATAGATCTAATAGACTTCTAGCTTTTTTAAATGTTTAATACCTTTAAATAGGAAAAATATATGCTTCTGTCTCAAGAATGCTTTCTGTGTATTGAAACAAAAACAAACTAGGGAAATTTGAACCAGAGGTAGCATAAGAAAATGTAAACAGCATGAGCATGGGCACCAGACAGATCACTCTAGGTATGAATCTTAACTCTGCTGTTTATTTACTGCGTGTCTTTGAAGGAGATAGTTTAAACATTATTGAGTCATTTTTCTCACTTGTAAAATAGAAATAATCCTTCCTGTTTCGGAGTATTAAGAGAATTGGAGATAATTATAAGACACAGTTCCTAAAATACAAGTAAAGAGGTATTTTTAAATTTACATTTAGTATATTGTATTATAACTAACATTGTCTGTCTCTTTCTTTACATTGGTAGCTTCTTATTTCTGAGTTTTGCTTCTATAGCACATAGTATAATGTTTGTCACATCTTAATCTAAGTAATTGAATGAATAAATGAATAAACTCTGTAAATTATTTGTTCACTGATTATCTACTGACCTAACTATTGAATCCAGTAGAAGTTTTTTCTCTTATTGAGCATCTCAGTATTTGACAGTGTTGATAATAAATGCTTTTGTTCCTCAGAGTCTGTCCTTGGCCCATTGTTCTTCACTGATAGTTTTTAACTATATGCTAATGATTCCTAAATACATTAATTTTTTTCTGACACACTCAACCATCTACCTTAATAGTCAATAACCACCTCAAAAGCTTTATGAATAAAAAAAGCCTCTTTTCCTCAGATAGCCTAGCTCATAGTTAATAGTGCCAGAGTGCTCTTAGCCTTCCAACTTGAAAATGTGGAATTCTATCCGGGCTCTGTTGTTTTTTCTACTTTCCACATCCACTTAATCATCAAATTGTGCTGACATCTACTTCTTTAATATTTCTTAAATCTTTCTTTTTCCTTCTGCCACTACTGCCAACCATCATCTATTTTGACAAGACTGCTTTAATAGCCTCTTAACCTCTACTATCTCTAGTCTTTTTCTCCTTTATATCAGTCTGCATGTAATTACTAAAATGTTAAAGAGGCCCACAAAAATACAAATCTTACCATGATATAACCCTGCTGTTATCCTTTAATGGGTAAAATATGATATACAGTGTCCTTCCTGATCGGCCTGCTTATTTCTCTAGCCAGATCGTTTGCTGTTGTCTGCCAAGTACATTCTGCTTTAGCAACGAAACTGCTTACAGGCTATGTCTCTTCACCACTGTCACCTATCTCAGCTCTACTTGCTAACATCCACTTATCCTTGAGGCTTAGCTTTGGTGTCACCTCCCCAGATAAATTACCTGAGACTTTTCTCCTGTCCCAGCTCTCAGGAGCTATTCTTCAATATGTTTTCATAATATCTTACTCTTACCATATCATCATAAGATTTTATTTATGTATATACACACATGTATCTGTTTCTTCTACTTAAGAACTCTCACTGTTGTGTTCCTACCACTTGGCATGGGTGCCTAGAATATAATAGGTACAGGTACTCAGAAATATGTTTTGAGTAACCATAGCATTTAAATGTGTTTTTCTGCATTATAAAAATATATAAAATAAATTATAATTGTAGTTAACAATTTCTGAGCACTTATTGTATGCCAAGAACTTTGCCAAATTGGTTACATATATGATCTCCTTTGATTTGTAACAATCTTAGGAGGTAAATAGTACTATTAACTCTGTCATACGGATGAGGAAACTATGCTTTGAGATTTGGCACGTTTCCCAAAGTCTCACAGCCAACCCAATGGCAAAGCTGGAATTTAAACCCAGATCTTTATGACTCCAAAGCCTCATGCTAACTACTTCATAAACTTTTACCAATTTGAAGTCCTAATAACTAGTTTGACTACTTTCAGTGTACTTTTAAAAAAGTATCAGAGAGCAAGAAACTTTTATCAAATGAATGACATACCAGTATTATTGTAATTGACATATACATTGTACTAATATGTCACAGATTTTGTCATTATTATAGACAAAAGAAGACAAAAAAGAGTAGTTGTATACCAAAAGTGTTACATGTAATATGCTTTAGTTGTGAAGAATGCAGAATAAAAAAAATTTTTTTAAAGATTTATTTATGCATATAAGAACTGAGATATAGGCCAGAGGAGGGAGGAGGGAGTTGAGTGGACTCACCAGAGACAGAGTGGGGAACGGAACAGACAGACTGACTGAAATACACTGCTGAGGGGAGCAGTGGGCAAGTCAGGAGAGGTCTGCTGTGCTTTGTAGGTAGCTCTCTGGGCCCAGGGATCGAACTCATGCTGCAGAGGCAGCGGATAGCTTCATAGTGCTGTACTTAAACCCTTGTGCCACCAGGGAGACCCTACATAATAAAAGTGAAGAAAAATTAGTTCTCTTTCTTTGTTAACTTACTTTTTTCTAATCCTGGCAAGGGTATTTAAAAGACTTACACAGAACGTATGTAAATATTATCACAATTTTTTTAAAGATAATTTATTGAAGAAGAAAAGCCAGTATGATAATGTTCAGAAATTTTGCAAAAAAAATAAAAATCCTCCACCCTAAAGTATTTTGCCTTAGTCCTAAACTTAGAAATTCATTTGAAATTTTCAGTTATTATAAATACATAAATATTTATATTTAGAATTGAGAACATTTATTTCAGATTCACCCATAAGATGGCATTCATAATGAATTTTAACTTTAAAATGCATTGAAGCATATTAAATTTGTAGAATTATGAGGAAAATGTATTTGGAAACTTGTTAAAATATTAATATAATAGCTCTATACTATATGACACAATCAACTTATTTTCTTTAGAAGTCTTTGTTTTGTGTTCTTCAGTTTGGTCACATCACAAAATGTGCAGTTTGCCAAATTTCTTTCTGTGTTAACAAATACTCAAATTTACTTTTTTCAGGAATGGGATATGGAGATAGAACAAGCACATTTTGTGGCACTCCTGAATTTCTTGCCCCAGAAGTATTAACAGAAACATCCTATACAAGGGCTGTAGACTGGTGGGGCCTTGGTGTACTTATATATGAAATGCTTGTTGGTGAGGTAAGCAATAAGAAATAGGTGACAGAGAAGAGAGAGGAAGGATGATTGAAAAACCAAAGCATGTCATATTCAAAAAACCACTTAATATGTCCTTCATAAGTAGAAATTGTTTTAAATAATTATAATGATTACCTATAGGTCTGTTACTTTTACTGTCTTTTTTTTTTAGATTCTTGCATTTTCTGCAGAATGCATTACCAGTGCTTTGAAAGTAGCTCCTTGTATTTCAGTAATGCTGTGGTTATGAGTTTAAGACATAATTATTTATGTCTTATTTATTTTTTCATAGGGAATAGAATAGCAGGAAGACTAACGAAAAGAATGTACTTTATATGTATCACGAAAAGTCAAAAGTACAGCAAAGTTGAAAATATTAACCATTTTTTCCCTGTTTTCTTTAGATTAACTTAAAATAAATTTCTGGAGATAACTTAGATAACAATTTCATACACAGAAATCGTTACTACTTAGGAAAAAGTAAATCATAGCAAATAAAGTAGTAATATTTTATTGTTTTTTAATGTATTTATTTACATGTGAAATTTAATTAAGCTACCAAAAATTATATTCTTACTTAAAATTTACTCTCTATAGAAGTGATATGTGAAAACTGTGAGTTTATTGCAGAATACTACACAATTAAGAACCAGCTAATTCTACTTTCTCTTATTCTAAATGACTGGAAGACTTGACAGTGAACAGATGAGGAAACTCCTGTTTGTGTGTGTGTGTGTGTGTGTGCATACTTTTTTTTTAAGGAGCTTATAATTGATAGAGCTCTTAATTATCTAGGCGATAAAAGATAATGGATCTGGCTGTTCTCCTGGATTGCTCTTTGCTGTCTTATTTCTCTTTAGTACCTCAAGAGAATAGTTGGGAAAAAGAACTAAAATTAAAACTTATCAATATACTTCATAATTTCATAGCATTGGTGGTGCAGTGTAAGCAACAACTATTTTTTAGTTTTGCCTAAAATTTATGTCACATTTCTCATTATGAGTGATTGAAATCTCAATCAGATTGAGATTTTCAAATTTGTGTTTGAAATTTATAATTGTACAAGTTTTGAGGATTAGTAAGGCTTCAGGCATAAACTAACATACCAGGACCCCTTTTCCATGCAGCAAAAAGAAGTGCAAGTATCAGGGAAATTAAAGGACATTATATGATATGACCAAATTTGTTGTAAAGATCTGTGAAGTAAATTTACAGACTAATTTAGTATGAGTATATGGTACACCCTCTAGGCTATTGACATCTATTGTGGTTTCCTGTAGTCCTCTTTTATTGTTTTGGTGGGGTTTTTGTCTTCTTATTGCTTGGTTGTACTTTGGAGCTTGGTAGGATTTTATTGTATTGCAACTCATTTTACTTACTCAGAGATATTTCTTCTAGTCTCCCTTTCCTGGCGATGATGAAGAGGAGGTATTTGACAGTATTGTAAATGATGAAGTAAGATATCCAAGGTTCTTATCTACAGAAGCCATTTCCATAATGAGAAGGGTAAGAATTAATGGTTTTTAAACTACTTACATTTTTTACGTTGAATGATATGTTCCAGTAGAACATTAGAAATTGTTTTTTCCGCTTCATAGATGTTGCGTAGTTTAGATAAGCACATCCCCAAAAAACATCTAGATATTTGCAGGTTATAAGATGAAGTTGCTAGTTTAAATTGTTTTTGCTTTATGTTGTTAGCTATTGAGAAGAAATCCTGAGCGGCGTCTTGGAGCTGGTGAGAAAGATGCAGAAGATGTAAAAAAGCATCCATTTTTCCGGGTAAGTATGAAAGTTTAAAATTTTTTATGGAACTATAGCAATAAGAAGTAGGGAACTAAACTGGCCATTTTATATTTTACAATCCAGCTAGTTGATTGGAGTGCTCTGATGGATAAAAAAGTCAAGCCGCCTTTTGTACCTACCATTAGAGGACGGGAAGATGTTAGTAATTTTGATGATGAATTTACCTCAGAAGCACCTATTCTGACTCCACCTCGAGAACCAAGGATACTTTCAGAAGAGGAGCAAGAAATGTTCAGAGATTTTGACTACATTGCTGATTGGTGTTAAATTCCTAGATACTGTGAAACAAAGCAGACTGACTCACAAGAAGACCTCTTAAAAATAGCAACCCTTCATTTGCTCTCTGTGCCACCAATAGCTTCTGAGTTTTTTTAAACACATGAAGATTTGTTTAAATACTCTTCTAATACCTTCTTGAAAAGTGGTTTCTCAATGTATTTTCAACATAAATCTGAGCACTGGAAACAGTTTCATGGAGTTTAAGCTGAATGAACATTGGCCATGAAATCTATCACAAATGAATACTTTTGAATCAAAGTTAAAAAAAAAAAAACCAAAACACTCTTCTACAGTCCCTCGTTTTGCTATATGTCTGCTTTCAATGAAAGGAAGATTATTAATCGGTTAACTTCACTTAGCTATATTTTACAAAAAGAAAACAAAAGGGCTTGGGATGCTATAACTATTTACACATAATATGATTCTGTTTGAACAAGGCAAATGTTCTTATTTTTTTAAAGAAATTACTGTAATGTCAAAAAAAATTAGTAGTAGATTATGCACATTTTGGGGGCCTTTTTTAAATGAAATGAATTGATGTTTTATAATTTTTCTATATTTATTAGAAAATTTTGATTGCCTTATCTTTACTAACCATGTAACAGAGCCTTATAGCTTTCCAACAGAGCTACTTGCCAAACAATTTTTTGTTTATTAAACTATGCCGAAACTATGCCGAGACAAACAGGAACTACTAACATCAGCATTTACTTAAAATTTTAAGAGTAAGGACTTCTGATGAACCTGAACCAAGACACTATGTCATGTGTATGCATTCCCAAAGTCTAGACATTCAGTGTGTTCAGTTGTATCTTCTTCCAAAATCAGTGAACTGATCATTCTTTTTTGATACTCATTGTATATTTATCAATCTAGTTCATCTTGTTCTTGTGTCTACTGTAGAAGGAAGCTATATCTTTTTTAAAACATAGGGATTATCATTGTATACATGCTGTGAACATGTATATGTGCAAGTTGTAATGTATTCTATGTTGTAGGTTTATTATTTAATTTCACCACTTTATCACTTTTGTACAGTGGCCAAGCAGACACCTCAAACTCCAGCATATATGTTAAAGTGCATTTGTACATTTTGGGCCACTGGATCCAGATTTTATATTGGCAGTTACTAAGGGCAAAAGCAATATATTGTAACAGAATGTATAAATATTTTTGATAAAACAGTCTATATTTTATAAAAATTATTATAACACTAAAGCTGTACCTCAAAAGACTCAAAAATAATTTGATCAAGTACTTTTTACAGAGGATCCATTTGTGGCTTTTTTTAATGCTCTTATAGGAAAGTCTTTTTGCAAACCATGACTTTTCCACATGCCTGGAGTTTTGTTTTTTGTTTCTTTTCTTTTTTTGGTTTTTCTCCCCCACCAGTCTATGATTTCATTATTTTTCCTTATTTCAATAACAACATCTTTCATTCTATGTTTTGCATGTTAGGGTATCATACCTCAGGAATAGCAAGTTGTTAGCTAACCATACACAATTAACCATTTAATCAAAGTGATATCATGTCATGAAAATTATTCAAGTTTAAATTCTATAAGGAACATGAAAGCATATGAATTTAGAGTTGAGCTAAAAATAGGTATGTCAGCCTTGCCACAGTATGTTGGCATGTTCTCCTTGTACTCTGAGAATAATCATAATTATTCAGAGATATTTTATGCATTCTTTTCAAATTGATTATTATCCAAGATCCTCGGGGAGAAAATCTTAAACAATGTATTGTTTAAAATTATTCTAAAACACCAGTTAACTTCATTAGTAAAGGACAGTAGAGAATCATAGCGTAATTATATGGCTTTAATTTAAACAGTGTTAACAAAATATTAAAAAAGAACTCTAAATACTTTTGAGGTACAGTCTGCTCACCTTTTCTGGTTCTCAAATACGCAGAGAGAACAATGTCTAAAATAGACTTTTAGCTTTGAAAATTGACATAGCATTTTGTAACTACACAGTGTACAGAAACTTTTTTTCTTAAATAGAAGTCAATCACTAAAAAAATTAGAGGGCAGGCTATATTCACACAATTAAGCTGAAGAAAGCACTAATTTTTTTTCTGTAGTCTTAAATATATATATATATATATTTTAGTCAGATTAAAAATTTTTAAACTATAGAGTGTAAATATATTTTGCTATTACTGTATGTGTAAGTGACTGCTAAAGCACTTTGTAAGGAAATTAGAATATTTTAGAATGGTACACTATGCATTCAAATGAAATGTGCCTTTATGTCATTCTAAGAAAAAAAGTGTTTTTGCAGTCATAAATTACCACAAATGCACAAATTAAAGTTTAAATAGATTGTAATTTGTAACTTTGGTTTTAAGTATTATTTCCTTTTGGAAACCCCTTATTGGTCAAAATATAAGTTGGCTTTATTTTAATCAAGATCTCAAAGGCTAACTTTAGTTAGCCTTCTTGTGTGTACTTTCTGTCCTGGGGAAGGGCTTAATCATGAAAATTTTGAGCAAAGTGTCTACTTCACTGGTAATAGTGGAGAATATTTGCGCTCTAATCATAAGGTTTGTAGCATCTTTCATTCAGTGGGTGTTTATGGAATATAATCTGTATGCTTGACACTAAGGATTGAAAGGTGGGGTGTAAAAGCATCAAAGTGTTCATTAATGAAGACATTAGTGCTAAAATTTGAGCACCAGTATTATATGTACTTTTCTCTTGTTTGAGGTTCAGTTATTTTATTTCAGGACCTGGTATTTCAGAAAATAGGTAAATGAAAACATTACTATCCATTTTGTGGTCATCTTATTTAAAAATGGCAAGTAAAATATTTTAGAAACATAAAATGATTCATGCTATCTCCATATGGTAAATTGAGGTGATAGTGGAAATTGCCTTTAGATGTTGACTAGGAGAAAGCTACATTATAGATCCAAGTCTAACAAAAATTTTACAGGTGCTACTGATCTTTGCAAAGCAAGTGAAGATGAGTATGAGAAATACAAAAAGGCAAAGCCATTCCATGGATCATAATCTTAATTTAGAATGCTTATTTACTTGCTAACTGTCTTTTGAGGTCTAGTGTTCTCTGAGATAATTGCCTTATATGTACATAGATATATAAATATGTGTATTTGTAAGCATATGTATATAAACTTATAAATAACCATCTAAGTGTCAGAAATCTTGCATAATTTCCACTTTTGTTCTAGTAATTAGAAGCTCTAGGACTTCCAATAACACATGAATTTGAGGCATTACTAATCTCATTAAAGGTAAGAGTGGTCTCTAACAATTCATCATCCAAGAGTTAAGATGGGACTATGTAGAGGTTGGAACTGGAATCTGAGTCCACCGAGTAGACCAGAGGAGTAGAAGGTTGGAGAGGATAAAAGAATGGCAGGGAAATGGTTTTGGAAATGCACCACCAAGATGAAGTGGGATTGCCAAGAATGGATTCCTGTATCAACACTACTATGGAGATAATAAGCCTTGCAATAGCAATAGAATTTATATTCTGTGCTAAAATTCTCTAGTTTGCAAGTCTAGTTTGCAACTCTACCAACCAGAGAATCAAATATTCTCTGAACGAAAGTTTCTCCAGGATGAGAACATAGAGCTCCTACAGAGTAAAACGTTATACACTGGCAAACATCACCCAGTTTATGAGACAGCAAGCCCCCTTCAGTGAGAGCCAACAGAAACCGTGAATTTAGATATCCTCTCCAAAAGAGATTTCATGTATTAGAATTCTCAAATACAAAACAGATAATAGCTATGTATAAAATGTAAATATATATCTAATATTACTAAAATAGACATAGAAGAAATTTTAAAGAAATTATCAATCTTTTTAATTTTGTTATCTTTAATATATTACAATGCTATACATGATTTAGCAGAATAGTTTCACAATTTATCAGAGGTATATTATGACACCAGCACCCCCATCAAAGCGTCCATAGTCCTTTTCCCTGGGCTGTTGAGCCCCTTTCCAACTTCTTCCCACCTAACCTCTCCCTCTTAACAACTTTAATTCTGCAGTCATACTTCTAGGATTTGTTTTGGTTTACTCTCTCCTTCCTTCTGCTGGCTTTTGGATTCATTTGTTCTTTTTCTAGTTCCTTAAGCTGTAGTGTTAGATTATTTACTTTGGGTGATTTTTTTTATTTTATGATGAGGGCCAATATTCCTATATTCTTCCCTCTTAGTACAGCTTTTGTTCCATCCCATAGATTCTGGTAGGTCATGTTTTCATTTTCCTTTGTTTCCAGGTAAATTTTAATTTCTTCTTTGAAGAAATTTCTTTATTAATCCAATTGTTCAGTTTCCTGCTTTCTTTTTGATTGCAGGTTTAATACCATTGTAATCAGAGAAGATACTTGATATGATTTCAGCCTTCATGTATATTTTGACACTTGTGACCAAGCAAATGGTCCGTCCTATAAGACATTCCATGTGCACTTAATAAGAATGTGCTCAGAGGTATTTTTTTGAGTGTAGTGCCCCATTAATGTCCAGTAGGTCCATCTGGTCTACTTCCTCATTTAAGGCTAATGTTTCCTTGTTGATTTTCTGTTTAGTTGATCTGTCCATTGTTGAAAGTGGAGTGTTGAAGCCCCTCGCCACTGTTGTGTTGCAGCCAATGCCTGCTTTTAGATTTCGTTAATTGTTGCCATATGTATTTTGGTGCTCCTTCATTTGGTTCATAAGATTTAACAAGTGTTATATCTTCATGAATGTGTTGATCCCTTAATCATTAGGTAATATCCATCCCTGTCTCTTGTTATCTTTTTTGCTGGAAGTTTATTTTATCTAAGTTTGGCTGTCCCTTCCCCTCTTTGGGGTCACATGTGCTTGTAGGATTGTTTTCCATCCACTTGTTTTGATCCAGTGTTTTCTTTGGAGCTAAGATGGGTCTTCTAGAGGCAACAGAAAGTTTGGTTTTGGTTTCAGATCCAGCCACCCTTTCTTCTCTTGCAGGTTCAGTCCATTTACATTTAGAATGCCATTGTGTTTTTCAGTTCTGGTTCTATTTCCTTGTTTAATTTTTTGTGGATTTTCTTCACTTTGATTTAGATAGGAGTGCTCCTTTCAACATTTCTTAGAGATCATCCCCAGCCTAGCTGTAAGTATGTGGAGGAGGTAAGCCCAGCATCTTCATTCTGTCACCATCTTGCTCTCTTTAGGAAACATTTTAAAATCCCAAAATGAAAAATAACAAATGTGAAACTTGGGGAGGTTAACAACAGATTAGGCAGCTAAAGAGAGAACTGTAAAATGTGAAGAGATGTCTGAAAAAATCAATACCAAAACAAAGAAATAAGGAAATGGAATATATGCAAATAAGGTTAAGAGAAATGGAAGATGGACTGGAGGTCCAAGAGGGAAGAATGGAAGAAATCTAGTATTTAAAGAGATGGTAGCTATGAATTTCCCAGAGATGAAAAATATCCAAGTACTCTCCATAAAGGACAAATAAAAATAAATAATATGCATAGTACCACTGTCGTGAGACTAGATCACAGAAGACAACATTCTGAAACTGAAAGGAGAAATTATGAAGGAATAAGACTAACAACTAAATAGCAACAGTGGAATATTGTTTTCAGAGCATTGAAACAAAATGTCAACTTGGAGTTGTAAAAGGTAAAATTATTGTTTTATGAATGAGAGCAAATGAAAAGTTATTTTTAAATGAGGGCTTACTACCAAAAGATAGTGCATCCAGAAAGGTGATCTAAGATAACAAGAAAGTTTTATGAACAAATAAAATGGTAAACACTTATGAAAATAAACCAAGTCAAAGATGATCCTCTCTTGTTTCATCTGCTGCCCCTCTCAGCAGGGTATTTAAATAAAGACACCTCTTCTGTTTTCCAAAAAAGAAAAGATACCAAGCCAATAGAAGACTTTTTTTTAAGTCAACAGAAATTCTGAATAACAGTGGTAAGAAAATTGAGATAAGGAAATAGTCTATTACTGGGGGCAGGGGGAGTTGAGGCATTAAGGTATTAACTTTAAGTGTAAATCATAAAATATTAAGGATATTCACTAAAAGAGTATAGTGTGTATAAATTCCAAACCAAATATAGATGGTAGAAATAAGTCCAAACGTATCAGTAATCACAATATATGTAAATGGTGTAAACTATCCAGTTTAAAGCAAGCTACTGATTTCAATTTGACATTTATAAAAAAGCACATCTTTGTTTTGACAAAAACAGTTAAAATCAGTGTCATATGAGGAAACATTAGGATTCCTTTTAAAAGGGCCTCCCTAATGGTGTAAGGGGTTAAGTCTCAGCACTATGAAGCTATCTGCAGCCACTGCAGCATGAGTTTGATCCCTGGCAAGGGAGCTGGCCCACATGGCGCAGCAGAACTCTGTCTCACACGCTGCTCCCCTCAGCAGTGTATTTCAGTGGATCTGCCTGTTCTGCTCCCCACTCTGTCTCTGATGAATCCATTCATCCCTCATGCCCACACCTCTGGCCTATACCCCAGTTCTTGGATGCATAAATAAAATAAGTCTTTTAAAAAAAATTAGAAATAAAACTAGTATGCCCATTATTACTACTACTTTTCAATACTACCTTTAGTACTATAAAGACTCAGAGAAAGAAACAATGTTTATTATTTTAGGTGATGTGATTGTCTATGTAGACAACTCAAAAAAGTATCCTTTTTAAAAGTTAAAAACTAAACCAAATCAAATATAATCTTGGTAAAATGTTGCCTTTTTCTTTTTTTTTTTTAAGCAAGGGAATGTTGAATCAGAATTAAGACAATGAGAATCTAATGTGGAGGCAGAAGAATATGGTAACTGTGGAGTGCATTGGTAGGTATTAGTTGTTGGTAGTGTTTCAGGTCTTCAGTATCTGCGCTCATTTTATCAGCTTTCAATATATCCATAGCCAGTAATTTACCCCTCACCCTTTTAAGTCCTCACTTTTCTTCCTTTACAACTTAAATTCATTATATCCATTATAATCACTCTCACAAATACTTTTCATCTCTTCCCTCATCTTGCTTTTTTTGCAACCATGTTGGGTTCATCTCTGCGTCCAAATAACCGTGCTAACACACTTCATTACCGTGAAGTGAGCCAATGCTAAATTTCTATAATCTATTGGTTCTCAAAACTTCAGTGTGTCTGGATGAGAACCTGAGAATTTACATTTCTAATTTCCAGGTAATACTGATGCTTCTAATCTGAAAGCATGAAACAATTCCAATACTTTTAAAAAGATGAACAGTTTTAAAATTACTTATCAATATCTAGTATTCAGTTTCACAATTATGACTTGTTTATTTGTAGATTGTCTTTTGCTAGTAGCTTTGTTGCTAAAGTAATAAAAATCAAAGAATGTGTATTCCAGCATACTAATTACTAAAAGTTGTTACAAGAAAGCAAAGCTGGGGCCTCCCTGGTGGCACAAGGGGTTAAGCACCACACTATGAAGCAATCAGCAGCCTCTGCAGCACAAGTTCAATCCCTGGCTAGCCAGGGAGCAACCCACATGGCAAGGCAGACCTCTCCTGTTTCGCCCACTACTCTGCTCCACAGTGTATTTCAGTCAGTCTGCCTGTTCTATTCCCCACTCTGTCTCTGGTAAATCCTCTCTCACCCCCACTCCTCTGGCCTGTACTCAGCTCTTGTATGCATAAATAATATTTTTTTAAAAAAAAGAAAGAAATCTAATTACCGTATCATAAGAAAAAGTCCAGGAAACAGACTAGACTTCCCCTGTTTACCTATCCTTTGCTTGAAAAATGTACAAGTAAGTGTACATGTTATTCTTGCTAAAGTCAGCAAGAGAATTAATTTCATAAAAGGCACAATCAGACTATACTAATGTTTTTATGTAATTCCAAACTCAAAAATATTCATATAACGTGATCAGTGCCAAAACAAACCAGAAGGCATACAATAACATTTCCTTAATTCAGCAATGTTTTGAGTGAATCTGCATGTACTAAAGATTAATCTTATACAATAAATAACTTAAAAATTAAATACAGGGAAAAGTGCATGTGATCATTTCCCTTGAAAATTCTTTAATTTAGTCATAAAAGTATAGCTTCTATGTGGAAATTTTTTTTTTAATGGTATTTTGGCAAGTTCTTTAATTGACCATTTATTTTAAAATGTGCAATATCAGATTTCAGATCCCATTTTATTTTTATTTTTATTTTTTTATTGTTATATTCCCCATACAATTGCAGCCCCCCCATTCTGACCCCAATCCCTCCCCTCCCGCCCCCGCCCCCCTAAAAGTGTCTCTGGTTCATAGTTTTTTGTTGATTTTGATTTTCACTTTCTTATAGTTATTCATTTTCCTGGTCCCTTATTTAAGTTTTCTAGATTCCTGCTATGAGTGAGACCATCCGGTATTTTTCTTTTTCTTTCTGGCTTATTTCGCTGAGCATGATCCCTTCCAGCTCCATCCATGTTGCTGCAAATTGCATGTGTTTATCTTTTTTGAATGCTGAGTAATATTCCATGGTATATATGTACCACATCTTCTTGATCCAGTCATCTATTTTTGGGCATTTGGGTTGTTTCCAAAGCTTAGCTATTGTAAACAGTGCTGCTATAAACATAGGGGTGCAGGTGTTCTTTGGAATTGATGTTTCTGTGTCCTTTGGGTAAATACCTAGGAGTGGAATTGCTGGATCATATGGAAGCTCTATGTTTAGTAGGTCCAGAAATCTCCACACAGCTTTCTCTATGTGGAAATTTTTTAAAGTTTGCTTTCTAACACCTATGGGCACACATTTGTAGTTTCTGTCTGTCTTCCA